TCCAAAAAAAAAAAAAAAAAAAAAAAAAAAGAGTGAGCTAGGGGGCAGCAGGTGGCATGGTGGTTAAGACGCTGGACACCCACATGGTCAACCATGGTTTGAGTCCCAGACATGACAGCTTGCTTTCCCACTTTCCCTCTTTTTCTCTCTGGAGAGTGTGTGTGCCCTATAGCAAATTAAAAATAATATTAATAATAAATAAAATTAATTTTTTTTTAAAAAGATTGGGCTAAATGTGTATAGATAATGTGGAAAGGGATCAAGAAAAATTAATTGAAAAAAAGCAAGTTACATAACAGTACCTACTGTATGGGCTCATTTGTGATTTTTAAAGGATATTCCCTTATATTTACATATCACAAGAAAACAAAAAGTAAAACCAAAGAAATCTCCTGAAAGGAGAACCAAGAAACTGTTTGTGTACTCTGAGGATGGAGCTGAAGAATAGGAGCACAGGGAACAGCAGTTAGTGTAATGGCTATGTCGCTGGGCTCCCATGTAGTTAGTCGACCGCGGTTCGCGTCCTGGACCTGGTGGCTTAAAACTCACGCTGGGCGCGTGTGCGTACATGCCCAAGATCCCGAGAGGAGAATAGAGGAGAAGGGATTGCGGTGTGGCCATCCCCCCTGGGGGGTGATTTCTCGCTTTGTCTCTCTGTCTCGCTCTGTCTGGCGAGCACACGCACCTTGTAGCAAAAAAAAAACCTCTCCCCCCCCAAAAAAAAGAATAGGAGCACCGAGAGTGGTAAATTTACTTTTCTGCTTGTATTGAGGTTTGTTTTTGTTTTTAAGGCTTTTGCTATAGGCAAAACCAAAAGCATGTGCTTGTCAAAAAGTGACCGAGATAGTGAGAGGGAAAATGAGAAATTACTCCCCGAGGGGACGGTCTTACGGTAATCCCCTGTCCTCCTGGTATTTTGGACACACAGGCGCACACACACACCTGATGTGATTTTCTTTTCGTTTTCTTTTTAAATTATTTTATTTAACTTTACTTATTTATTTTAATTTGACCAGAGAGGGACAGAGAAAGGGAAAGTAAGAAAGCAAGTTGCCAGGTCCAAATCTCAAACTGTGGTCAACCATGTGGGAGTCCAGCTCCTTTAACCACCATGCCACCTGCCAGCCCTCACCTGGTATGATTTTCAAGTCACCAGGTCAGGGACTTAAACTGTGAGCAGCCATGTGGGGGTCCAGCACCTCAACCACCATGGCACATGCTGGTCCCTGCACTGAGTTTTTAAATCACTAAGTATTATTATTATCATCCTTTTAAATAATTATTTTATTTAACATTATTTATTTATTTTAATTTCACCAGAGAGAGACAGAGTGAGAGAGAGAGGGAGAGTGGGAAAGCAAGGTACCAGGTCTGGGACTTGAACCATGGTCAGTCAGGTGGGAGTCCAGCACTCTTAACCACCACACCACCTGCCTGCCCCAGTATTATTATTTCCTACAAGGTTAAAAATAAATATATGGGACTGCCAGGTGGAATGCTAGTTAAGGCACTGGACTCCCACACGGTGGCCCATGGTTCGAGTCCTAGATCTGGTGGCTTGCTTTCTCACTTTCCCTTTATCTCTTTTTGTCTCTCTCGGCCGAATTTGAGATAATAAATAAAGTAAAATAAAAAATTTCCAAAATAAATACGTATTTGTTCATTTGGGGGAGATAGGAAGGGTTGGGAGGTAACAAGGGAGAAGTGCCAACATGCTTGCGGAGCCCCGGTTTGAGACGGTCATGACTGGGGAAGAACTCACATTTGATTCTGTTGTCTACAGACACCCAGGATAGGTTTGCCAGCCAGGAGACTTGGGGAAGCAGGGTGTAGCAAGATCTACCTGTGTTCGACAGGAAGAGTGCCCCTCACTCTTTCAGGGTACGCTATGGTGCTTCTGCTTTCCCTTGGACCACAGTATTGTGAGGGCTCCTGGAGGGAACCAAGCAGGCACCCATTAAAAATATCTGGTGTAGGACCACCAGATGGTGTAAAGGTTATGCAGTTAGACTCCCACATGGTCGACCACAGTTTGAGTCCTGGACCTGGAGGTTTGAAACATGCCGGGCATATACATGTGCCTGCCCAAAATCCCGAGAGGAGAATGGAGAAGGGATTGCGGCTGGCCATCCTCCCCCAGGGGTGATTTCTTGCTTTCTGTCCTTCTGTCTCTCCAGTGAGCTCACATGCCCCATAACAAAAATCTCTTAAAAAAAAAAAAAATCTGGTGTAGGGCTACTCTGTGGCCTGGTGGTTAAGATGGCTGGACCCTACATGCTCAACTGCGTACAGAAACATCCCAGGCAAGCGGGCATGAATGCTCCAAATCCCGAGATGGAGGAGAAAAGATTGAGAAGGGTGTGTTCTCTCTCTCTTCAGCAAGCGCATACACTCTGGCAAATTTAAAAAGCAAGCAACAACAACAACAACAAAAACACCACCTGGTATAAACCAAGCGTAGCAGTACAGGTCTGTAATCCCAACCACCCAAGAAGCTGAGGTAGGAGGATCGTGAAATTGAGGCCAGTCTGGGCAACACACGGAGACCATATTTCAAAAATAAAGTAAAATCTGGGCCAGCAGATGGTGTGGTTAGGGTGGCCGGATTCCACATGGCTGACTGTGTCAGAACCCACAGCTTGAAAAACACGATGGGTGCATACACGTGCCCAAAATCCTGAGAGGAGAAATGACTATGGAGTGGTCATCCCCCTGGGGGGTGCTTTCTCACTTTCTCTCTCTCTTTCTTTATGGTTCTGGCAAATGTATGCAGTCTATAGCAAAAAAAAAAAAAAAAAAATCTGGTGGTAGCCCAACCTACCTAGGTAGTGCATTCCTTAGCATACTGGACTGCATGTTGGAAGCCACATGGCTGACCACAGGTTCAGTTACCAGGGTAGGCCTGAAAGCACTCTGCAGATGGGGGGTGGCCACTGGAGACCCTGAAGAGCTACAGGGCTGGAGACAGGGGATCAAGGTATTGGGAGACCCTGTCCAGGATCCTTGCCCTCTCAGCCTGTCTCCCATGTACACACATGCTTTCTGTCACTAAAAATATGTATCTGGTGAGTCTATCCAGTTGCTTAACACAGTTTGGCCATAAGGGCTCAATAAAAGGAGCAGTTAAGACCCCACCCCTGCCTAGTGGGGCATTCCT